AAAAATAAAGAGATGGGCAAAGATATGCCATGTGAACATGATAGCACAGATAACAAAAATGAAAAGAGAATTTTTTTTTTAAAGATTTTATTTATTTGACACACAGATAGAACACAGGTAGGCAGAGAGGCAGGCAGAGGGAGAAGGAGAAACAGGCTCTCTGCTGAGCAGGGAACCTGACGTGGGGCTCGATCCTAGGACCCTGGGATCACGACCCAAGCCAAAGGCAGCCGCCTAACCGACTGAGCCACCCAGGTGCCCCAAGAGAATATTATGAAAATATTTATGCTAACATTATAAACTTGTAAACTCATAAACAATAAATATATATTTCTAGAAAAATATCTTAGCAAAATTGACTTACAAACAAACAGAAAGCCTAGAGTGTATAACCATGACAAAAAGAACACATCAGGGCCAGGTATTTTTATAGACAAGTTCTATAAATTTAAAAAGTAACTCCAAATTTATACAAATTCCTTCCCAAAACAAGAAGCTGTATACTCACATAATCAGATTAGTGTAACCTTGATACCAAAACTAAAGAACAAGACAAGAAAGGAAAAGTATAGGGCAATCTCACTCATGATCATTAATGAAATAATTCCTAAACAATTTATTTGCAAACAAAATCCAACAATGTGTTAAAATGTAACTCACTGTGAAGAAACTGGGTTTATTCCAAGAATTCAACAATAGTTCATACCTTGTAATTGACCATGAAAACAGATAAAATGGGAAAAACATTATGATCAACTAAGATAAAGAAAAGATATTTGATAAAAATCAACAACCAAATATTATTTAAAATTAAACTCTTGGCAAATTTTTAAGATCATAAAGACTATAAGGATGACCACTACACTGCTTCTATTAATTACTGTTCTGGGAGTTCTAAAAACAAAATGGGAAAAAGAAATAAAAGGTATAAAGGTTAGAAAGAATCATAATTGTTACTATTTGCAGATGATATTATCTTTGTAGATAATAGTGTATAAATTACTGGCATTAATTAGAGTGTGGCAAGGTGGTCTTTTAAGATCACTATACTCAAATCAATTATGTTTTTATATACTGCAACACAGGAAATCCAATTAAAAGGTATACCACTTACAATAATAAGACAATACCAGGTACATAGAATAAAAACAACAAAAGATATGCTACTCTCGTGAAGAAAATTAGAAATAGTACTGAAAAGCATTTAAGGAAACCTAAATAATGCAGAGACAGATGATGCCCCTGGATAGGAAGATATCATCATGTAGATTTAAGTTCTCCTCAAAATGACACACTGATTCAGTTCAATTAAAATACAAATTTCAGCATGTTTATTTGTGACCTTGCCAAAGCTAACTCAAAAACCTATGTGAAGATAGAATCCCTAAGACACTTCCGAAGAGTGAGACTATGGGAGCTTGATATTAGGAATAGACAAACAAACCAGTCAACAAAGACAAAAGCCCACATACAGATCTTTACATACAGAGAAACTTGATATACCAGTGGTAGCACTGCAGATCAGTGAAATAGTATTTAATAAATAGTCTTGAGCTAGTGCTGGTAGCTTCTGTACCAGACCATGCAAATCTGATTGTTCAATTCTTGGCTAATGAGGGCTCTGCCAGCAAAGGTACTGATCGCTACTGATTTCTTCAATAAGACTCCTCCCCAGTCTCATGAGCTCCATGGAAGGTATAATGGATAGCTGCCTAGGGGGCTGCAGGTACAACCCCCTAAGCTGTAGTGAAAAAAGAGAAGAGTAAGTAGACTCTTCCCTTGAACAAAGCTTGGTGGGAAGGTGTCTCTCTACCTGGCTTCTCTCCCATATGCCCATATGGCATATGGCGCAGCCAACAGAAAGGACAACAGGCACGTTCATGTTAACACCCTCAATGGTCCGCCTCTGCATCTCTGAAGAAACTCTTCCCAGCTTCAGATTCATGAGTAGAGACCCTTTTAGGAATAAGACAGTATTTTTCCTCTAAAAAGGGTTACAATGCCCCAGCAGTAAATTAATTGATGGAAGAAAGTAGTCAAACAGAGTTGCTTAGTCCTACACTGGTGGTACCACTTTGATAGTAAGACAAAATAATGGCACTTTAAAAATTCAAAAGCTTTGGCTTTTGTATTAAAGTGAATCAAAAACTTGTATGGACCTAGAGAGTATTATGTTAAGTAAAATATATCAGACAGAGAAAGACAACATATGCTTTCACTTATAATGGAATCTAAAAAAGCAAAAGAAACAAACAAAGCAGAAAGAGACCCATACATACAGAGAAAAACTGGCATCTGCCAGAGAAGACAGGGTGAGGGATGGGCAAAATGGATGAAGGGGAGTGAGAGGTACAGGCTTCCAGTTATGGAATATGTAGATCACGGGAATAAAAAGTTATAGCATAGGAAATACAGTCAGTGGTATTATAATAGTGTTGTACAGCGGCACATGGGAGCTATACTTGTGGTGAGCACAGAATAATGCACAGAACTGTCATATCACTGTGTTGTGTATCTGAAACTGATGTAATATTGCGTGTCAGCTAGACTTCAGTTAAAAAAATAAATTAATTAATTAAAGTGAAAGACACCCAACTTACAGAATTCTAAAATGTCTATAACAATCTTCCTATAGGGGCCCCTGGGTAGCTCAGTTGGTTAAATGTCCAACTCTTGATTTTGGCTCAGGTCATGATCTCAGAGTCCTGAGACTGAGCCCCTGATGAGTCCATACCGACCATGGAGCCTGTTTAAGATTCTCTCTCTCTTTCTCTCTCTCTCTCTTTCTCCCTCTGCCCTTCTCCCACTCTCAAAAAACACCCAAAACAAACCCCACAATCTTCCTGTATATAACAATCTTCCAAATGTTTCATTAAGCCATGAAATTCAGCAAATAAACAATATATCTGCTGATGGACCTGGAGGGAAATAGTCAATGTGAATGCTAAATTAAAACTGGAGCCTCTAATTGGATGCAATTTCAGAAAGAATATATACGCCAATAATTGGGTAAAAATATACTTGTTCCTCATGTTGAAAACAATAACAAATTGTAATTACTCAACTTCTATCTTTTTAAGTAGTCTTTATCACTGCTAAATTATAATACTATATTCCACTTGTGTAAAAAAATCACCATTGTATTCTTCTAATTCTCCAATTCTAATATACTCTCTAAGAAATTCAATGAGATTTTTAGTTTCTGGTGCCCTGAATAATCCCCAAAGCATTCTTTCTCACTCAGTTTTTAGGACTGGAAAAGAATGCACAAAAGAGGCAGAGTGGCCCATGCAGGAAAAGTTTTGGAGAAGACACGTTTAGGTAAATGCCATGTATTAGGCAGACCTTATTTATACCCCTGGGTCTCCATTTTCTCATTTGTAAAATAAGGATGGTATTAGCTGACTTTCATATTATTAAAAGGATCAATTACACACACAGGGATGAATAGTGTCTCCCCAAAATTCCTGTCTATCAGGAATCTGTCAATGTGACCTGATTTGGAAAAAGGTCTTGTAGGTGGAATCAAGTTAAGAGGAGGTCACGCTAAATGAGTCTGGGCCCTATACCCAATCACTGTGTCTTTATGAGAAGGGAATGTGAAGACAGAGACACAGGAATGGCCCCGTGACAATAGAGGCAGAGATTAAAATGATGTTGCTATAAGCCAAGGAATGCCAAGGAGTGTTGGCAACCATCAGAAGCTAGGAAAAGGCAAGGAAGAATTCTCCCCTAGGGTCTTCAGAGAGAACATAGCCCAGTTGAATCCTTGATTTCAGATTTTGGCCTCCAGAAATGAGAGAATACATTTCTGCCCTTAGTCACCTAATCTGTGGTACTTTGTTGCAGAAGCCATAAGAAATAAATACAGTATTGATTCCTAAAACAGAAATGAAGCATTTGGCTTATTGCCCACATAGAAAAAACATCCCATAGCATTTTGTTATGGCTGAATAACAGGAAGATTCTGCTCTCATTTAACATGGAATCTCCAAGGATAAAGTGTTTCTGTTACGGATAATTTAAAAAGTGACCAAAACTCAACTGAAACAGACTTAAAAAGGCCTGGAGGTGGGGTGGGGTGAGGATGTGAGAGAGGAAATGAAAGGGAGCAAGAGAGGGGTGATATTAGTGGATCCTGAGTTTCCCACACAGATGCAGCTGGACCTCTGCAGTGACTGAAGGCAGGACTCACCACCTGATTTCTCATTATACTCTTTCTGTGTATTAACGTCATTCTTTCTCCCAACTATCGTCTATCTTTACCCACCAGGTGAAAACATGACTGCCAGCAGCTCCCAAACTTTCTCTTCCACAGAGGGTGTCCCCAAAGAAACACTGCCTCCATTTTCTGGGTCCCCAAGTCCAAAAAGCCCAGAGAAATACTGAATCGTCTGAGCTGGGTCTGCTTCCACTCCTCAACTACCTGTTGCCGCCCCGTGACTGGGCAGGTACCAGAGGGACGGAGGAATGGAGACAATCTACACAAAGAACAGCTCTAGTTTCCTTCCTTGATCAAGAGGTAGCTTCACTTTTGTTCTTTCACCCCTAATTCTGACCAAAATGCTAAAAAGAAGTGAGCAACCAGAGATAGAGAAGTTAATTTTAAAGGCAGATACAAATATGATTTGAAGAAGAAGTGGTCAGTCGTAGCTACATCAAGAAGTGCAACATATTGATAAAGAATTTGAGCCAAGAGCCGATGCGCACATGAACGAGACGTTTTATGTAAGTTTGAACTTTTCCAGTTGGAATTAACTGAAAAACTATTTCCCCTATTTAAAAAAATAAAAGAGAATATAAGAAATTAAGCTACCACTTGAAGATGTATCTTAAAGAGATTCTTATCTTTTGGTAGTAGAGGAAATTTATTCAATCAGCAATAAACATTTCCCTGCCCCTTGCGGGCGGGGCGCTGACGTTCCACGAGATTGTTTCCAGAGATAATTCACCTCAATATTCAACCTTTAACTCTCTTAGAAATAGAAATGATCACTTACCGTGGTAGTGGGGTCTCTATCAGCTTGATTTCGTTCAAAAGAATGTATTTTATGGGCACTCATTTCATCAGTATCGGCAATGATATAATGTCTAGGAGAGTAAGCATTGGACAGGTTCTCAAGCAGCCTCAGGATCTCAGTGGTGTGCCCACCTGGAAAAAAATATAGGAAAGCCTAAGATTAAGAAACCCACAGTGTAGTTACCAGAGGGGAGGTGGGTGAGGGGATGGGTGAAATAGGTGATGGGGATTAAGGAGGGCACTTGTCACGAGCACCCCGTGTTGTATGGAAGTATTCAATCACTACATTGTATACCTGAAACTAATACTACACTATGTTAACTACCTGGAATTTAAATAAAAACTTAAAAAAAGAAAACTCCAATGGACATACCTATTAGTATAACATTATACTAATGTTATGTTTTATGTATTTCTCAATAGGTGAAAGCAACATTTGGAAATAATAATCTACGCCCTTGTAGAAACACTACTTTCATATGGGGGAAGAGGACATTAACTGTATAAAAATAAAACTGGCACTAGCAGTAGGTGCTAAGGAGCACCAAGAAGTAGAAGACACAACTCCTATTATCAAGAAGGCTGGTAAGAGAGGGGAAAGACACACAGACATTTAAAGAGTAATGCAAGAAGACAACATGCAAAATTTAAATTGGGGCAGAGGTGAGGAAAGCAAATAGTTATGAAAGACCAGCTCTGTAAGAGGAAGGGAGATCCCTGGTAAAGGCTGAGAGGACTTGAAAGGTGAAGCTAATGGATGGATAGGAGTAGGGAGGCCACTGGCCAGGAGTGGGATTATTGGGACATGAGATGGTAAGAGCTGAGATGTGTGTTCAAGGACTGGTGGAATACTTTGAAGGAGGACGAGGGTGAAATCAGATCAGGAAAGTAGTCTGGAAAATGCAAAGATGGTCACCGGGTCACTGAAGGTTACTGTGCTGAGAAGTAATGTCAAGGAGGCATGAGCACTGACCCTCAGGGCTTGGGGCTTCCTAAGGAAGACTTCTGCTCAGGAATGTAACCCCAGCTCCTAAGAGAGGTCTCAGCAAACTACAGGTCGTCAAATACGTAGCAGCTTCACCAAACAACTGTTCGATTTTTGAAATTGTACAATCTCCAAAATTTTAATACTTTAATTTCAAAACCGTGAATTTAAAAATCGACTGTGTACACTGAGGTTTCCTTTGGAAGAAAAAAAACCCCAAAAGAACATCAACCGCTCATGTTAACGATATAGCATTTAAGCAAAGCAATCAAACTCCTTCTTAATGAGCCCTATCATACCCATTTCGTTTCACTTCACACTCTCTCAGCCTCAGCCAGGTTGATGTCCTGAACATGCTCTGTATTCATCTTATTTTTTACCTCCTCCTTGCCTCTGGTCAGTGTCCCTCCCACCTACTAAAACTCTCCCCCACCGCTACTGTTGTAAGAAAGCACTTTCAGTAGTGACACAATGAACATACAGAGGGATAATCAAACAAATTAAGTGTGTGGTTTCTCCCAACGCACGTATTTTCTTATAGTAGAACGGGAAGGATTACTCTCTAGGTTCCAGAAGGAATTAAATACAGAAATAAAATTGGCATAGATTACATGTGAGGAGGAATTAGAATCATACTTTATAACTTGTAACCCATCTTCTTGTCTGGGGCATGCAATTTACACATCTGATTTATACTAATTTTAGTATCTTTGTTTTTAGCCTTGAGAAATGTGGTTTGCAAAGTAGGTACTTGTTTTCACAGCTGGACCAATTAAGGATAAAAAGGATAATATCCACATTTTCCACTGCAATTAAAACTTCATTATACCTGCTCTAACAGTCTTTTCTTTTTTTAAAAGGAAACATTTACTGAATACATTTTTTGATGATTTAACCTTGTCACTGAATAAAGTCATTAAAATGATGGACTTTGTCTTCCATTTTACTCTTAATAACTATTAAGATATATTCTTTGGGAACAAAATCATCTCAGTTTTACCTTAGAATATTTCCAGAATCCAACCTCTTCCCCCATCTCCTTTCTACTACTCTGCTCCAGGCCACAACACTCTCACATCAGTTATGACCACGGATTCCTGGTCTGCTCCTCCTTCGCTTGTCTATTCAAATGTCTACATTAGTCTGTTCTCAACACAGCATCCAGTGTGATTCTGTTAAGAGAGTTGATGAGTTTACCTCTGCTCAAAACTCTCCAGTGGCTTCCCTTCTCACATGCAATAAAAGGCATCTTGTATTTGACCCCTTAATTTATTACCTCATGGAGCTCATCTGCTTCTACCTGACTTAAGTCTACTCCCGCCACTCTGGCCTCCTTGCTGTTGGGTATCAGTCATCTCCCCAGGGAGGCTTTTCCTTACAATTCTGTGTAAAATGCAACCTCCTGTCCTTACATCATAATATTTATGACCATACAATTTAATATGCAATCTAGTTATTTCTTTTGTTTTTCTCTCCGCTAACCCTTGCTCCACTAGAAGGTAAGCATGATGATGGCAGGGACTTCTGCTAATTTTGTTACTGCTCATCTTCAGTGCCTTGAAAAAAGTAAGCATTCCTATTACCGAATGAGAGGGTAGATGAGGATATGGTATTAAATATAAAATTTGCCTAAGGAAATCATATGATATTTCAAAGAAAAGTACTAATTTTGATTGATGTTCTTTGAAAATATGTGGTTGATTAATAATATTTTATGGAATCTAAAAACCAGACATTTTTTGGTATTCAAGGTAAACACTTGAAAATATCTTCCCCCTCCTCCAAAATTCTGGGCATGAACTATTAAACTATTTGTCTGATTATAAGTCTTTCTTTGACTTTGATGATTCTTAGAGGTCTCTGACCTCTCCCTACTCTTAATGGTTTGAATGACAAAGGCGCCACTTGTCAGACTAATTCTCAATCTTAATTTTGGTTCCCAGTCCACCAAATCTAATACTGTCAAGTAAATAGCTCTAACATCCATTTACCCATTTGTTCAAGACAGAAACACGAGTCCCAAGCCTTTCCTTCCCTCACCTCCCACTTTCAAACCACAAGTTCCTACTTGTCTCCCTACCTCAGTTTTTGTCAAAACATTCTCTTGACAATGCAGGCTGAATCATCTCTGTAAAAGCTTAGATTTAATTGAGTCACACTCTACTCAAAAGTATTTTAAAAGATCCTTTGCTACCAGGACTAACAACAGTCACCATTTATTAAATGCTTATCATATGCCAAGCACTCTGCTAAACACTTTTAATACTGCATTTAATCTCTCTTCACCTCATCCCATATTTTTCAAGGTTGAAACAGTTCAGTGAGGTTAACTAATTTGCCCAAGGTCACCAAGTTAGTAAGTGGCAGAGATGTGATTCAGCTCCAGGATTATCTGAGTCTAGAGCCTGTGGTCCTAACCCTTACATGGTATGAAGCAGTGGAGTAGTGCCAATAGCTTTATAGAGCATGGTTTACAATGCCCTTTGGGATCTAGCCTGGGCTTACAGCTCCACATGGAACTCAAAGCAACAATGCCCTCCCACCTCTGGGCATTCCAAGTGCTATCAACTTCTTTTCACATCCTTCTAGTCTGCAAAATCTCTTTGGTTGATTCCTAGTCATCTTACAATTCTCAGTTTAGACATCACTTCTTCCAGGAACTTTCCTGTCTCAAGGTCAGATAAAATGGTGTCCTTCCTGAAGACTTCCATAGCAGTCTATACTTCTCAGATTATAGGAAGTATCCATTTTGTTTTGTTTTGTTTTTTCCCTGTTAGTTTTTCTGTCATTTCCTTTTCATTCACCGCTGTATCCTTGTACCTTCCACACTGCTTCACTACCTAATCACCATTCCGTGGCAAGTAGTAGTAGTCGGTTTTGTTATTTCTAGAGTCTAGCATAGTGTCTGACGTCTCGATGGCTCAACATATGTTAAGTGAATAAAGTAATGAATTGTATTTGAGCATTAGTTTAGAACATTTGCTAATAATATAAATATTATTCTAACTGTATACAATTTCCTAGCATTTCTAAATCTACACAACATTTCTATCTCTGTCAGAACTTATCCATTTAAAATTGTGAGGGCCTGGGGTGCTTGGGTGGCTCAGTGGGTTAAAGCCTCTGCTTTCGGCTCAGGTCATGATCTCAGGGTCCTGGGATAGAGCCCCGCACTGGCATCGGGCTCTGGGGTCAGAGGGAACCTGCTTCCCCCGCCTCTCTCTGCCTGCCTCTCTGCCTACTTGTGATCTCTGTCAAAAAAAAAAAAAAAAAAAAAAAAAAAAAAAAATCTATAAAATTGTGAGGGCCTGCAGAGCTGGTAGACTCTTAAACTGTATTACCTGATAGGGCAGCTTGCTGTTCGCATGCTGACACAATATTCTCAAACGTGTATTGTTCTATGGTCAGTAGATAATTGTTTCTAACCTCATGGATTTGTATATTTATAAATGTGACAATTCACTCTGCCTCATTTATCACGTAATATTCATGTTTCCTAAACTAAACACAAAATGCCTAGGTTAATAATGCAAAATGGCAATTTCTACTCAGGAAAATAGTAAGTTAGCATCATAAGGCTTCTGCGTCCTCTCTGCTCATTAATAATTTGTTAAAATAACATACGCTACGTGGAAGCTTAATTACAGACAAGTGTAAGTTACTCATTTGTCGGTAAAAGATGCCTGGGCCGCGTCAGCAAACCAGAATTTTGCCCGGCTGGGAGGACCGGTTCCGGTTAACATAAGGGAACTACAAATCTCAGCATGCAATGCTCCAAAAAGTGCTAAGGAGACTAGATAGGAGCGTCGCGGTGTACTCTGGGGTTTGTAGTGACCGACCCAGGAGCGACTCGACAGTCACCGCCCAATACTTACCGGACCCAGCCACCACCAAGAGACTGCAAGACTGACGGGGCCCCAGGACCCGAGAATGGAGCACAACCCACAGCCGCAGTGCCAGCAGCGCGGCCACCGCAGCTCCCGCCGCTACTAGTATAAGGACGCTAGCCATGCAAAGAAACGACGCATGCGTACTATCTCCCGGCGCCGCCGCTCAGAAGCGGTCAAAGTTCAAGAAGTGCTGACGCGCCGGAGGCGCAAACGGGGCGTGTCGGTCTCATGATGGGCGGGGCTTGTCTGCGCTGGGCGGAGTTCATGGAGAGAGGCGGAAGTGCTGGCTCTGGGGACTTTGGTGGTTTCTCTACAGTCTTCCACGCAGCCGTCTCCCAAGCATAAACTGATATTCGGCGAGTTAAACGCAAGAGAAGTGTGATTTCCATCCGTGACGAGGTCAGGACACCTGTACACCCTAAAGGCTCCGGAGCTCTCAAGTTAGGAAGGTGTTCCCGCGCCACTAACTTTGTGAATTCCACCTGAGGCCAGTAGCATACATTGCCTTTTTCCTTCCTTTCTTTCTTCCTTTCCTCTTTCTTTCCTGCCTTTCTTCCTTCCTTCCTTCTTTCCTTCCTTTCTGTCCTTTTTCTTTTCTTTCTTTCTTTCTTTCTTTCTTTCTTTTAAAATGCCAAGGGAAAAGTTTCTGTTGCAACATGCAGACATTACTGTGCTTGCCAGTAAAAGTTACTTCAGTGCAAAAAATTAAATTTAGGGCCTTCATCAGAATCTCTTTCTGGATACTTGTATTTTTTAACTTTTCTAGGCATTTTCACAGATCTGTGTGATCAGAGTGGCCAAGGGTGATCACCTCCAATTCTGCCATGATCCTGAGAGGAGTGGTAGCTCAGTGACTCAAGGTAGCAGAATAGAGAAGGCAGCGTCCAACAATTATTACTCAGTTAATTTTACCACAAAGCCAACACCTCCCGTAATCCCAATTTTGCTTTGTTGTTGTTGTTGTTGCCTGTGTAATCCGTATTGCAGCAATATAAGAATACTGAGATTACAGAAGTCCCCTCACCCCAAGTGTAATTTGCCATTAGTGCCATAGAGACTGTAGATTGGACAGGGCAAGTGCACAGATGAATAAACAGGTCCTGAAAGATAAAACAGTTTGCTTAAGTGAAATAGTGGCAGATCTAGATCTAGATCTAGATTTAGAAACCAGAAATCCTAACTCTTACATAGGAGTATCACAGTATTCCATTTCTAAATTTCAGGCTTACTTGATTATCACACTTGCCTAGAGCCTAGAAGTGTCTTTTAAAATGCAGTCTCTCAGGAGAGACCTGGGATCAGGTTATCTAACCAGTGTGTCAATGTCTATCAGCACTCTGGGAAACATTTAGGATTTGCTGGCATCATTTTCTGGCTGATGGATTTCATAGCGCTTCCCATATTCAGTCTTCCAATCAAATCCTCTTAACCCTACACCCTCACAATAAGGCCAAAAGGTGAATATTACTTCCCTCTTTAAGGACAAAGACGGGGATTCTATAAAAGTAAAATAGTTTGCCTAAGATTTTTCAGCGAGGAAGTGGTGGAGAAAGTTTATAGTTGCATGCTTATAAGTTAGTGCCTCAAATTTTGATGAAATCAGAATCCCCTGGGCTTATCAATACATAGTTCAAAGTCCAGAGGTAGGGCCTCTGGCACAGTGTAAAAAAACAACTTAAGTGTATTACAAAGGATGTAGTTTTCTTTCATCTGCCCACTCTGCCATTCCCAGCAATGGCTTTAACCTAAGAATCTCCCCTCATACTTCAAAGAAGATGTTAGTGCCTCAGAAATTACATCCAGATGGGGAAATTTCCAGAGCCAAAAAAGGACATTATCTTGTTGTTGGGTCTTTCTTTTTAAGGGTGAGGAAACTTTTTCCTGAACTCGTCACAGACTTTCTTTCACACTCTCTGGCCATATTTATATCACTTACTAACTCATAAAAGCTGGCTGGCGTAGGGTGGAGCATGGCATATAACTACGTGTTGTATCTGGCTATTTGATGAAGGGTGGGTACTGAACACAATGGTCTCTTAGAAGGAAGTTGGAGAGGATGGTAGAGGAGAGATGATTGTTGGTTAGGCAAATTATAGTGTTTGGATTGCTGTGAAAATATTGTGCCCAGATGGCTTTGTAACCTGACACAGGCAATGCAGATATCAAGCATATTAATAATTACTAGACTGCAGGTCTCAGAAGACACTCTTGCATTCTCCTTTACCCCATCACCTCACTTCTGTAATTACCAGTATCTGTAGGAAATATCAGCTTGACCCCATTGGCATGCAGCTGGAATGAATGAGGATGATGGAACATTTAGGGCTGCCAGTAAACACAGCTAATCAAAGAGGGAGGAGTAGCAGATATTGTTTGGAATTATTGCTTGAGTTATTTTGAATTAAGGCTAGGGTCAAACTGTTGGGTGTTTCTGACAAGGAAGTTGAGTGCAGAGAGGAGCTGGGTGGCAGGCAGGGACAGGAGCAAAGTTGGGAACTCCTGAACAAAATCAGTGTCTGCTGGTCTGTGACAGGCACAAAATGTGTAGGTAATCAAGAGGTCAAGAAGCTGTACTGGATTAATCAAGAAAGGCAAGGCTGAATGACAAGAAGCAGGAACTAAAATTTCTCTTGGGGAGTAAATTGCACTGACCACATAGATTACAGATGCATGGAAGTAAATTAGTGCTATGAAAGCATGAAAAATGTTGACATTTTTGATTGACAGAATGAGTAACGATATTGAGCCATAGCCAAGTGTAAGTAAAGTCTGTCTGGGAAGTGATGTGTATTATCTTTTTAAATCTATTTTCTAAAGCTTCTGTGCAAATATCTATTATCATGAATATTAAAAAAGTAAAGATTATTTTACACTATTCAGTAGGATCGTGCCTGTTAATTTTTTCAACATATTTAATGAGCACCTGCTATGTGCTGGATCTAGGTACAGGGGAACTTGTATGGATAGGACAATAGCCCAAACAAGAAACTTAGACTAGAAAGATGATAGTGTAAGTAGAAGACCATTTGAGAAGATTTCAGATATATTTTATGACTAGAGTTATTAAATCTTGTTGATGGATTAGATATTGGGAATCAAGACGGCCCCTAGAATTTTGGCTTCAAAACTGGTTGGATGGTGTCATTTGCTAAGAATAGATGGACAGGAAGAGAAACAAGCTTTTTTGGGTAGACACAGGGGAGGAGAGGATGAAAATGAAGTGTTCTTTTTTGGTTGTTAGTTTGAGTAGCCTGTTAGACATCCAAGTGATTATGTCAAATAGGTAGTTTCATGCACAAATCTGAAGCTTGGGTCAGAACTAGAGGTATAAATTTAGAAGTCAACATATACGTGGCATTGAAAGTCACGAGATGGGTAGGATCACCTAGGGAGGGAGTCTAGGTCAGTCCTGTGCAATAGAACTTTCTTAACAATGGAAAGATTTTATGTTCATGTTACTTACTATCTATATGTGCCCATTGCATACTTGAAATGTGGCTAATGAAATTGAGGAACTGAATCTTAATCTTACTTAATTTAAATTATTTTAAATTAAAGTACACACATGTGGCTAGCGTCAACTACATTGGAGAGCTCAGGATTGAGAAGAATATGGGGTCATTAACATTTAGAGGTCTGATAAAGGAGATTTAGCCAGTAAGGAAGATAGAGAAGGGAAAGCCAGGGAGATAGAAGGAAAATCAGGAAAGAGCAGTGTCCATAAAAACTAAGAGTGGAAAATGATTCAAGAGTGGGAGAGCAGTCAGCTATATCCCATGCTGATCATAGCTGGGATCAGACAGCTTGAAAACACATTTGTCACTGAGGATCTAAGCAAAAGCAGCATTGAATCATGGTTGTAGAAGGCAGTTGGAAATGAGAAGAAGAGAGAATGGGAGATGAAGAAAAGCAGTGTCTATAGACAATTGTTTCAAATTTTTCTTTGAAGGGGAATGGAGAAATTAGATGAGAAATGAAGGAGAATTTGGAATTGAGGAAACTTTTTTTTTTTTTAAGATTTTGTTTATTTGACAGAGAGAGATCACAAGTAGGCAGAGAGGCAGGCAGAGAGAGAAGGGGAAGCAGGCTCCCTGCAGAGCAGAGAGCCCCATGCGGGGCTCGATCCCAAGATGCTGGGATCATGACCTGAGCCGAAGGCAGAGGCTTCAACCCACTGAGCCACCTAGGCGCCCCAGAAACTTATTTTTTAAGATGGGAGTTACTGGGCATATTCATTTGAATTTTATAATGACCCAGTGGAGGAAAATTGATGCAGGAGAGAAAGGGAACGAGAGTAGGAACAAAGTTATTCAAAAGATGAAGAGGGTTGGAATATACAGCACAAATGGAGGGGTTGGGCTTTGATAGGAGGGGGGGGGACCCTTATCCCATGGTAACAGGGTATAAGGCAGGGGTATAATGCAGGTACTGGGAGGCTTACAGAATTGTTGGTGAATAGATGAGGCTGTGGAGGTATGGGATATAGAGTGTGAGAGGCTCTAGGAGAAGTTAGGAAATAATCATCTTGAAAAGTAATTGGCATATTCATCAGGTTTGGTGTAGGATTTCTGGGCAGATTGGAATGCCCATTTGAAGCTTGTGATGATAAATTTAGAGTGAAATCAGTCAGCATAATTTTATGTATTTTTCCCCACTGGAAAAGGCAAATAGTTGGCTTTAACCAAAGTTTGATTTTTGACATTTGACTGCATTAGTGAGATAAGATTATGTCACTAATAATCTCACTCTTAAGGGAGCAAGGTCCATGGAACTTTCTCTGGACATAGTAGGAGAGTGGATGAGTAGTGACAGAATTTAAGGTTGGGATTGGAAGCCTAAAGAGGGTTGAAAAACTGCAATGAAAGAACTAGAGCCACTGAACTTTAGAGATAAGAGGTGGCAGTCAGAGGGTGGGATGCTTGAAGTCAATATTGTGTTATTACTGATAGTAGTTTTTAGGGCATAACTGTAAGAATGGATGAAAAAGATAACCGGGCCACCCACATGGATGCCAGAGTCACTAAGGGGTGGAGAGGAAGATGAGCTCAAGTTTTCAAAAAGTAAGAGTTTGAAAATGATAGCAACCAAAAAGAACTTGGGGGCAAAAGCGGGATATCTTCCATTAGTCCCTCAAGATTCACTCTCCTCTGTGCCATGCAGCCATGGGACCTGAAACTTATGGATTCAGTCAGCAGTTTCCTTGCT